GGGGGGGGGGGGCGGCCAAAATTGGTTTTGCCTTGGGCGGCAAAAATCCTAGAGCCGGCCCTGGCCTTGGTCATTCAATTCCTCTGGCAGGGTTCACAAAGAGTGGCAAAACAAGCATCTACCATCACAGAGGGGCACAGCACATGTGCAAAAGAACCCAGTGACACTAGCATTAATATCATGAAAACACCATGATGCTAATTACTTCTAAAATAAACAACATTATTCGACAGCCGACAGTGCCCTTTTTAAGGAAGTCAGCTCAGGCTGAAGAGCTCATTGAGAGGCTGGTTCCTGAAGGCCTTTAGGTCTGAAAAAAGAACAGGAGTACTTGTGGCACGAAAGTATTCGAGTCAATGTTATTTGACTCCATCTGAACACTCTCTTTACAAGGCAAAACATAGGGTCAAAACTCTTTTAAACTCTTCTACTCACTTGTTCTACCCTAGTGTTGTGGAATAACACCCCAAAGGCAGTAATGAATCAGTCTACTTTTCTGCAGAGGAACCCAAGAACATTTTTATCTCTCTGTCAGCATGGCACTAATTTAAAAAAACAACAAAAGCAAATAAGAGGGATAAGTCAGAGTAGACTTAAGGTGGTCTAATGGGTTACAGCACTGGCTTTTCACTTTTGGAAATTTTGGTTCAAATCCTGAATCAGGGTCCAAAGTTTGATGTGATGGTCCTGTCTAGAAACCAGATTGCCAAATATTGGCATAGTTGGTGTGGCTGCACACCATCTGACATGCGTTAGCTTTGTGTGGGCTAAGCACAGGACTCATTGCCCGGCTGTACTCGGTCTATCTTAAAACAAACTCACTATTTAAAAGCTGAGAATTTAGGTGTCTTTAGATGACTTTAATGAGCACTAAAATTCTCTTACAGACTTAAGGAAAAATGAAAGAGGAAAGAGAAAGAGAAGGAACACAATAAATAGCTAAAGAACTTGAAAGGAGCTTATGCACTATGGGTGATATCCTGGCCCTAATTAAGTTAATTGGAAAACTCTCACTGATTTCAACAGGGCCAGAATTTCAGCCTCTCTCTCTTTTCCAGGCAAGTTTGTTTAGTATGCCCCACCGTCATCCTCTCTTCCTCAGGAGAGGCTGCCAGATTTATTGGTGAATCAACAACTGAAGACAGAACTGAGTCAGAGGATTCAGAAATCAACACTGCAGATCTTTAGAAAGTAGGAAGAGAGGGACCTTATTTCAAGAACAGTTCTTAAGAAATTGCCCCCAAAACATAATGATTTGCAAAAGAACAAGGCATTTGTTACATTTCTGAGGTGGGAGACTTCAGATATTTAGACCATTTATTTGGCTGATGGTTTGTTTAGAACACACAGTTTTTATTACTCTGTAGCATGGGCCAATTTGGGGACAAGCTGGGCTGCAGAACATGGTAGAACCCCCAGCTTCACCCATGTCCCTAGAGCACTATTTGAAGCTTCAGAAAAGGGCAGATATGTGATTCTTTATTTTTCCTGTTTTCTTAAAATGCAAACTTTGGGCTGGACATTAGTAATCACTTCGTTCTAACAAGAGCCAGCTCTTTCTGCCTGGATAAAGACATTTCATCCGTTTGGAAATATAATGCTGAGGTCTTTATAGGCACTCCAAATGACTTTCTTTGCATGGAAGAGACCTTTGAATGAACCTTAGAACTCCCTGGTTTGTTGACAACACGCCAGATTTCTTTGAATGGAAGTAATATCATTTATCCAATGTGATTTATTATTCTTCATATGTCTGCCTATTATTGCTACTTGAAGGTTTGGTCTCCTTTACTCTAATCAAAAATCAATAAAGAAGGATTTTAAAAATCTGCAAAGCTTCACTCTCTTATCAAAGATTCAAAAGATTTAAGCTCTTTTC